GGGTAAGAACGGAATGATGTCGACTTGGATAAAGTGACGCGCAACGAGTGTTTTTCGAAAGGAAAGAGAAGACTGGACTGTGGTTGCGACAGAAGCTGTCGGTAGTGGCAATAAGAAACTGTAGTCGTACGGTGCAGTGCTTCACTAGCGGAATCGATGTGAAGTCGCCATCACCGCCATCGATACGGCCCAAGTTGTCTAGCAAAGTGGATCAATCAATCGGTTTCGCAGGCGATACGTTTACCGATAGAAGCAAGGAAGATATTAAGCAGGGCTGTATTAGGAGCAATCTAAACTATCGGTTGGGGAATAGTCGACAAAATAAACGATTCGTAGGCGGCATCGCAGTGTGTGAACAACCAAAGCGTCAGAAGAGGTGAAGCACGCCAGAGGAACGCAGGAAAAAAACAATGCGTAAACAGAGTTTGGTGATAAAAAGAATGAGTTGTTCAAAGAATATATTATGCAAGTAGAATTAACTATTATCGTGCCAAAACTTGCAAACCAAAGATACCAGTATAGACAATTTTTCTTCGACTTTCTAATAGTTTTTTTTTTCCGATCCATACACACAGTTTTTTCTGACATAGATTTATTATACAACTAGGATCATTCAACATTCAGTGCGATTTATTATAAACTTTGTTTGTGTACTACATAATGTCATATAGCAATTAAATTAAATTAAAAAAAAACAGGAAGGATATTACCGTGGAACTTTGCGTGCTGTAAATGGAATAAAATCTTGTGTTATTCATCTCTTTCCAACCTTTGTTTTCGAACCGGAACACCAACTACTAACTAATCCTCTTTCTTCTAAATTAAAAAGTAGTCCGCTTGTTCTTGAGTGTAGCGCAAACTTATAACTAAGTTAATTTGCTTGATGTTGTGTTCGCTGAATTGCTTTTAACATGAATACGCTTTAATCGGCAAGATAATATTTTCATATTTCCGTAGGCAGATCTATGAAATCCCTAAGCACTCTGCACTTGTACTGATTCCGTTGATCACTTTCCAGAAGCTCTCAATTCATTGAATTTGTTTGAATATCTTTAAGCAAATATATATATATATATAAGGCGTTAGTCCTGGCGAGAGTTTCCTAGAGATTCTTTGATTGCTTCGTGTTCTTCGAGTCTTAAGGGTATTCGTCACTCGGACCCTTCAGACCCGAAATCAGCAGTTGGGGGGCTCAGTCATGGGCGCGCTAGGAAGTGCACCTAATTGACTGCCAGTCTTTTAGATTGCACCGATAGGTGAATTTGTCATTCCCTAAATTGGCTACCTAAGCTAAGTTTCCAATGTGCACTCCTTTAGGAGACAACGAAACTGCATTTTCTACGAGCAACTAAAGCTGTAGGTAAACGTGTTAAACAAATTGCTTTTAGTTCTCGAAGAGACCTTATGGGTGGGTAGCGTCTGAAAGGAGTTAATAAAGTAAGAAGTAAAAACTTATGGTAAAGCTAAAGTAACACTCCCGATGGCTGTTGCCCATGTAGGAAATAGTTCAGAAAAACTTGTCAAAGCATGTCTTCGTTCGTACACGTTTTTATGCTTGATCAATATGGAGTGAGACACCGACGGTAACAAGCTCGACGTAGACAAAAGTGAGTCCTTTAAGCAAGTCTGTTTCTATAAAAAAATATGCTGCTTTTAATTTAACGAGCCAATTTTAATAAGCTAGTAATATAATTTACTCACTTCGCGGTGAACTACAATATGACTCTCTTTTACGATACTAAAGTATATGTATTAGATTGGATAATAAAATGTTTCCACATTGTGATCTGTAATCACACTGCATGACACAGTCAAGTTGCTCAAAACGAGGAAAAGGACAATGATTTAAAGTAACTTAGACCTGTTTCAAATCATATTTCTGGTATAGTTATGTAAATCGAATTTGGTTGTTTGTTTCTTCTTTCTTTCTATTTTCCGTATTGCAAAGACTTTGTAGGTAGATTGTAGCATTTATATGTCCTTTGTGCAGAAATCCCCTAGCAGCATAAAAGAAATCACTTAAATACCGGCCGAGCAACCAACCGATCACGCAGGCAGGAGTCTCACTCGTCGTCCGGATTCCAACCACGCTCCGTTTATTCGCTTAGGCTTCGTCTGCTGACTGCTTTCTATCGATATGCAGAAAGTAGGCCCTCCGCCGAGTAGTAAAGTAGAATAGTCGAATAAAGGCTGTCTTAGATATCCCTTCTCTTGTCCTCGTTTATCTCTCAGTTGCTCACCCTGCAAAACTTTCCTCTGTAATTTAGCCTTGCTACCCTACCACGCCTTTTTCTACTAGCTTTCTGAAGCCAACACGCTTTCTCCTCGGAACCTGTGTAAAGTAAAGACGGTTGCAACTATGAAGACGAGTTTGCACACGCCGCGGAAGCGGCTATAGCCTGCTCCACTTTCTCGCCATCCGTTGCCATTGTAAGACTAGCAGGTTACGGATCCTGCGGGTGATGGACGTCGCCTGGATTGCTATGGAACCTGTCTGCTGAAGAAGTTAGCAATTGTGCGAGCAAGCGAACGAACAAGAGCAGCGCTAGCGGAGACACGATGTACTGGTCGCGTGCAACTAACTAGTCACTGAGATGCTACGCTCAGCGGAACCGGAAATTGGGAATCATGTCTTCGCTTCGGTTGTTTGAGGTCTGGTCGCTCATCGCGTCTAGGCAGCTAACCTTGTCGTGTTCCAATGCAAACCCTCGATGTCCCACTCTCAGTGTGTTTCGTGTTCCTGCTCCTATGTACAATGCACCGGCAGCCAATTGCTCCGACGAGGCCGCTGCTTGCTTGCTTTCCTCGCATTTCCTAGTTTCCTTCAGCGCCTAACGGAGAGGAAAAAGGAGAACGAGAATCATCAACCAATTCCTTGAGACGGAAGAGAAAAAGCAACCAGGGAATATAGACGACAGACTCGATAGGTAGCGCCGTGTCTGATAGGACCAAGGGCCCCCCGGACCAGGTAAAGGTAGAAAGGTAGCAGGCGGGGCTAGTAAAACCGTGCAGGCGCATATATAAATAATGAGAGAGGAAGAGGGCAATCGAGAACTGTTCGAATAAATCAAGAAGACCAAAATACTGTACCAGAGTTAACGGAGTCAACAACATATAGAGCAAAGGCCGAAAGCTGCAATCTGTATCTTACCCAAATGCACAAGTTAACAAGTACACAGGAGAAAACGTTTATATAACTGTGTATGTTTCACGAGTTATTAAACAGGGGTTCTTTAAATAATCATTGATTTAGCCCCTTATTTATTTGCGTATTAGGGCACAAGTTTAAATCCTGGCAACGCCCGGACCGAACACAAAGGGACTGGTTCCGTTTATGAAAGCAGTTTTTCGTATTACATAGTTCTGCGCTGCATGATAAAGCCCCTATGTTACGCTTGAATCACAGAAATATGATGGTAGCATACATTTTACTATGCTATGACAGCATCCGACAGGTTTTATAGCCGATTTTTACGTCTATTCAAAATTTTAAGTTATTAAAATTGATTCTGTTCTGCTTAAAATCTATGCTAAGCAGGCATCGTAATTAGTAACATTTAAACACATTCTCGGAGTTTTCGCACCCATCTTGTGTAGGGAAAACATGACTATTCGATCTGTAAATTACCAGGTGTCAGCGTAAAAGTTCTGATCAGTTTCTTTGTGAGTGGCTGAACGGACCGAAGTTTTCGAAAAAATTGAACAGCGAATGCGCTCTGTTCATTTGATGAGTTGAGGGGCTGCGGATACGTAACTCTTGAGAATTTCAGCTTTACTCAGAGCAATTTTCCGCGTACTTCAGACCAAAACATGTTGCGTTATTAAGGCTACATCTATCCCATGCACTAGGTGGCACACTTACGAGAATAATTTGTAAGAAAATTTGCAAGTGAAATATAATCGGATGCCCTTAAGAATATCGTAATTTACGTTCATCAACCTAGATCATAGAAGCTTTAGTTTTCAAAGGTCTTTAGGTTATTTTCGCGCTAAATCTGGTTCGTGATTAGCAGAAAGTTAAATGACAAAAATACCAGAAAAAAAGCATATGGATGGATCGACGGATGCAAAAGGCCTTTATCGGAAAATTTTCTGTGTAGGTGACTGCACAAGTAAAGAAAGTATCAAAACAGCTTGACGCAACGTAAGAGGCGATAACCAACCGTTTAATTAAGCCGAAAGTGGATATTACAACAAGAATATTTATTTGAAAAGTTTCTCCATGGTATTTTTTGCCTCACAATTTTTATTAATAGATATTAGTGTATTATTAAAAGAACGCACTTAGTCCAAGAATTATCCAAAGATCCAGCAAATTACATTCGTGGCATAATAAAAATATTTAGGAAATTTGACGAGAATCGTAAGAAAGCCTTGTATCTTATTCCTATCCAACCCTATATTAAGTCAGTTCGCGAACTAGATTATGGCTGCCCGGTGCAGTTTTGGATCTGAACGACTAGGAAATGTCTTGACGTGTTCTCATCCGCTTAACAGAAACGAATTCCATTTCAGCCAACGTCGACATTTGAATTCGTTGCCATGTGCTGTCCTTATTTCTAATGGGTTGCTTTCCTCACATTTCTAAAGCTGGAGACTGCTTTTATCCAGTTCTATTGATAATTTCGTATTAATATACAGTTATTTGTACGTTTAGTCCTTTTTTGCACTTCTAGTTTACATCATTTTCTATAACCATATATAGAAATTTTTTTCTTAAGTACACTATGCATGGTTATTTTGCAGCTCCGAAGATTTTATCTTCTTTCGTTGAACAATTAAATGTATTTAGCAAAAATCGTATATTTCGATTTCTCACTACGCATTTGTTTTCAAAATAATATACCTGCTTTAAGCCTTTACGGTAAACGTTTCTTGTACTTTCGTTTGTCAGCGTAACGCGCATTTGCTCTATTCATATTTAGTCTATCTAATAGAGCACTAAAATATAAAAAATAGTGTTGTTCTGTTGAAAGCCGCCGACCGCCCGAGACCTTGTTAACGTCAGCTATTCGTTCAAACCAAGATGGCAGCCTCCTTATAGGTATGGAAGTACCATAATCTTGATTACTCTTATTGCTGATAGTGCAGCTTTGTAGTGAAAATGTGACCTTTACACTGTTAACTATGAAAAATTCTGGCAGCTGTGGTGGCTCCCATAAAGTGCCAATGGATTTCGGAAAGGCGTACACCTAATCGCCGCGAATGACGGGTTAGTAAATTCAATTATGAACGAAAGTGATTGATTATGAATATTATTTAGAAAAAAGAGGTATGCTGTCATCTATTAGCTCAATAATCTTAACATGTTTATGCAACTGTTGTATCTTGAATTAGACATCCAGTTACCTACTTATGTAAGTTGAGGAGTTAGTATCACAAACAATTTTTCACCCTTTACCTTACTGGCTATTCATAGTACGTGGTCGTCGGGGAAATAAATGTACGAGGTGCAGATGTTTGAAATTGTCATACAAATTCGGCCAAGCATGAGTAGGAATAATATAAAGCTGATTCTCAGATAAATTTTGTGCATGGGCTCTGCACAGAGGCGCAATAACCGTCCTTTACGCCCGGTTCAAATGTATAATCTATGAATAGAAATGGGAGTATTTTATGTCAGCTGTCAAAAGCCCCTCAAAACATTTATTCGATTATCTATACCTAAAGTATAGTAAGAAGAAAAATATATGTAATTTAGTTGAATTAACTAGTAGTATATGCGCAGTAGAATTAAGGATTCTCCTACCTTCAGTCGATTGTGCTTTCTAGATGAGAACCGTTACTGTAAGATTGTTTATTGCACGCAGGCACGAAATAATTCTAACACCTATTAATATAAAGTCCCGTTACTATACGTATATATATAGCCTAAACATTTGTCTATTAGCATAAAGTCAACTGAATGACTCTGAGTAGAGCGCAAAATGTTGGCCCCATGAACCCAAATGACGTAACAATGCTTTCGGATTCGATTTTGGCTGAGGCAATATTGTGTTTGAGGTCGTTTTCTTGTGACAGACTAACGGCATTGCCTCCTTTGCCACTGATGACAATACTGGATTGTGGGCCTTCGTACTACTATGAGCAACTGTAGGAGGTACCCACAACGACTTGAGCCAATCTAGTCTCTGTCAACAGATCTTTAGTGTCGAAAGCGCTAGTGATGCATCCGTTACACGCTGACGGTGAAGGAGACCATAGCCCGACATATAGTAGCCCGAAGTAGGACGTCGCACAGCACTTGTGGTCAGTTATTACTTGACTTAACTAACGGGTGATCTGCAACGGAAAAGGAGTGATAGTTTTTGCCGAATAACTTTCGAATACTCGAAACTTATGGACTCTGTACCACACCAACCACTGTTATTCCACAAACGGATTTCAGTCAGCTACTCCTTATTGACGCGTGCTCCTATGTTAGTACGTACTGGTGGTAACTCAATTTCACATTGTCTGAAGCCGAATCATTTTTCACCGGCGTATCTTTACAAGAAATATTCCTCTTCCAGCTGGTTTTAGGCGATTGTTATGCTTCTTTTTTATGCAATTTAGCGTGATTTAGTTCTGTACTGTTGAAAGAACAGCAGTCCTCTGGCCAAAGTTGCTTTTAAAAAACATTTCCCGAAACTCCTAACCGGTGGATCGTATCCCATAGCTCCGACCGTACTCAACGCGCATCCCTTCGCCACCCCTGAGTGTGTAATAGCAACTTGACGAATGAACAGCTTCACTTGAATGCTGTGTCTCTTGTTAATCATTAACAGAATGAAGCGAATCATCAGCGCCCAAACGGGATGGACCCGTCAGAAGAAAACTGCTGTCGTTCTAACGTATCTACCACCACGATTGCTGCTGTGACAGTCACTGTAACGTCGAGAAAAATACAGCTTATAAGAGCAATGGATTGTTAAAAATTAGTGGCGACGACTTTCGGCGCTCTTACACGTTCTACAGCTATTTTGACTGAAGTTTAATCTTTTTAAGAGTCAAACTTTGACCAGTAGGAAGCGAGTTGTGAGCGAAAAAATATTTATAATCTACGCTTGAATTGACTTCAAAGATCAGGAGCCACAAAACTGTGGGAAGAAAACATTTTGTTAAGGAAAATTCGTGTTAAGGAAAATGAGTAGACACTGTTACTATTCAAATGCGTCGTAATATGTGAATGGATAAATCAGTGTACATCGGTAATTCAAAGGGAATCAAAGGTGCCACATACCTTTGTTTTTCCTCGTACACTAAACTAGAGACACTAAACACCAAAAAATCGAATTTTCCAGGAAGAAACAGTGGTAAGCAGAAGCGTTGCCGTCATTTCCTCTCCATTATCGACAATAGGCGATATAAAATTGACTCATCATTTTGGAACATCGACACAAAATCGAGTCGAATAATTGTAATAATAATAATAATAATAATCATAATAACCCGAGCAGCTCAAACCTTGACTGGTTCAAAGCAGCTGAAAATACCGTCTGTGTAATCGCTCGAAAGGGCAAGGCACAAATGCTTGCGCTAATTTTCTTGCAACTTTAAGCACGAAAATTTGTTTGCTTGGTCAGGAGCCTTTCAACGTATTTTTCCAGTTCAATTAAGGAAGGTAGTTAAAAATATTAAGCGCGAAGCTTTTGCGATTTTTTACAGGCAGGAACAGGTATACAAAGTTTATTTGTTTTAGATTGTAAGCTATAAACATATGTTCGTGTTAATAAGAAGCACTCTTAGGAAACTTTGATAAGATATAAACCTTAAGAGTAAGCCAGCAAAACTATTATATCGATTCAATTGTAATCGTGTTAGTAAAAAATAAGAAACGAAAGTTCGTCTGTGCCATTACAATGTGTCGTGAGTTCCCTTTCCCAGCTCTAGGTAAAAGTATGAAATTAATTGTACAGATAGAGAGATAATTGCGTAATCAACTGTTCACTCAATTTATAATTAATCTGTTTGAGTCAGTGATGTGAATATCTAACTTGATCTGGAATAACGTGATTACGGCGTTTATACAATTGAGCAGGACGATATATCTTTAATTAGGAAACGGCATAGACTTAAGGATGTTTTCCCGTTATGCCCTTAATATGCCTTGATACGCTTCAGCAAGCAGAGCACCGTACGCCACCATACATTCCGATCACTACTAGTTCGAGCTTTGTTTTTTTATTTTAAATTGTTATAATTTAATGAGTTATGTGATAGCCCAAGTAACATCTTCGGTCTCACAATAGACATCCTTTGACATCTACCATGTCGTTTCAAAAGCACTCGACCGTTAGCGCGGCTGTTGAGCCTGAAGGGTCCATATCTTGCAAGAAAAAAACTTCCGTTTGAGGCCCTAACAATGTACGAACGTTTCATCGTCAAGGCTATATATTTGCGATTCGAATATTATGCAAAATATGGACCAATGGACTCTGGTTCGGTTTAGCCGATGCAGAGTTCGTTTGAATTTTTCATAATAAGCATATTTCTTATTTCTTACAAAAATCGCGCGATTGTACCGTTAATGACGGAAGTACTCCGAATATTGGGACTAGAATAGATAAGAAAAGATTAAAAATTACTTCTAACGTCCTATAATGACCTGAAAACAAGCTCCTGACGACCGTTTTTTGACCAACAGATGTTGATAGATCTAAGTAAGTTGTAGTTTGAAGGAGCCAAATCTGGTAAATCATTTTCGTGAGGAAGCATTCCCTAGCCTAACTGAAAGATAAGTTTCTTTGCTCTCAATAAAAAACAGGAATAAACGATATCATATAGCGAACGCGCTTTGAAAGTACTTTACCTCTGAACGGTGATTTTCTTCAATGGAATTGCCCCGTTCAGGTAACTGACATTCATATCGTTTTACAACAATATTTTACAAACATTTGAAAACTAATAATTAGGTTCTGCGTACATGTTCGACCACGCACGCGGGAAAATCTTCCATGAACACCTTGCTTGTTCGGATAAGTGTATGATTTTTTGGGCTTTGGATTTCATATAGAGGTTTTTTGTACCCACTTGATAAACAGAATGGTCTGGTACCATGACTGCTTATCCAGTTTATGAAAATCTATCTTCTTCCTTATTTTTTCGTAATCTTTTTCCATAGGGCGCAGGCGATCCAAAATTGCTTGTTCAACTATTTTCGACCGATTAACAAGTTACTGCTGAGTTCGAGGATAATCTTTGTCCTGTAATGCTAGAAGTTCTACGTCTAAAAACGTTCATCATCCAATTGAAATTTTCTTTCCCTAAATAAACTACTCTTCAACAATTTAAGCACTCACTAAACTTCCACCTAGAGTTGTATGAGTACATTTCATTGCTTGCGTAATATTCCCTTGCATTTTAAGTGTTCTGCATACAGTATCCCAAGTAACGCTTATATTATTTCATTTGTGTGCCTAGGTGATTGCCATTGCATATGAACAACAACAACAATAAACAGCTTAGACCTCCCAAAATATGTAAAACTATGCCTACGCTAGAAGCGAATCAAATGTCAGAGTAATCAATATCCCATCCGAAAATACGAACGTTCAAAGCTTAAGTTGAGAGTACATTTACACAGTTAATATTCCACGTTCCGACCATTGTAACTATTGAAAGTACTTACATGGTCAACGGTACCCTAGTCACTCGAAACTTACGCACATATAGGAACGTACTTTCTAAACAGTAGTAAAAGCACAGTTTTGAATTCGAACAATAGGTGCCGTCTAAAGCTCACGTGCGATGGTCTTTCTTTTGTTTGCTGGTTTATAGCTGTTCGCCTTTGTCGAGGCCGAACATTGGCCTTTGTGCTGGGAGCCAATCTCTTGTTCGTTGGGCTCCTGATCGCTCTGACGGGGAGTCGCGGTCCTACCAGCGACCCAGACAATACACTTGCTGGCGCCGGAAGCAGTAACGTCGCAGGGGGTGCCCAAGGGACTGCGGTAGAAGGATCGGCCTGGTCTGTGTACAGACTGCCGCGGTCAACGCCAGCCATCCTAAAAGCCAAGTAAGTTTTCCTTTATCCTTCCCTAGTTTTTATAGAAATATCAAAAATATTAACGTTATCACAATAATAGTAATAGATTTCTGCTAATTTTTAGTTGAATTGTTATTTTGCATATTAGTGACCCTTTTTGGCGTGATTGCCCCTGCGTTTGCTCTATTGAAACGTCACAAATATCATCATCTATCTGACGTGACGGCTTCAGCAGTAATGCAAGTTCTGAGTTTAATGCTAAGAGGCGTTCCGATGTTATTATTACACTAAAAATAGTATTACATTTACAGTGTTATTGCTTAGTGAGCATTTCTTATTTACCTGACTTGTATCATTTTGCGAGCCTAATTTTAGCTTACGAGTAAAGAGTCTGCCAGGGCCGCTGTGCAACATGAATCAACAGAATAAAGCGTGCACATATAAGCTTGTTAAGTTTGAACTACTGGAAGATTAAATTCCTTAAGTCAAAATTAATTAAGCAAAAACCTCTTTTTCGATCTGATATTCTTTGGGACTATCAAGATTGTCGGTTATTTACAATTAAGGTGTTTTTAATTAAATATCCTTAGGAGTGTAGGTTCTTACTATTTTTTCTCCCCATCTGCAGTTAAAATTAAATTGTGTGAACCAATGTGAAAGCAGCACAAAGATTTGATGGTATAAAACTTACATGCGTTATTTTGTTTTTTTTTGTTATTATAATCAGTGCACGACGTGCTGTGCGTAGAACACACCTATTTATGAAGTTTATCCGACAAAAAACTTAATGTCATTTATGTCTGATATCAATGATTTAACTTTTATGCGTTATAAAGGGCCAACTGATTGATATGTTTAAATATGTCTTGTATTAACTTTAGAGGCAGATTTAATATGATGGCAAGCTCAAGTCAACTCAGCGCGGATTGTAAGCGGAAAAATCGCAGTAATTCTTATCGTTACATTCTGTGTATTGCTCGAACTGTTTAGAACATGTCGCATCATCACATTAAAATATCTCACAAATTTGATGATGTTGGAGTTTGTGATTTAGTAGACACACGCCAAGTTAAACTTCATCGTCATGAGTTTTTCATAGTACTAATGGGAGACCGACATAATGATCTGTACTGAAAAAAACCAATGCTGTCGAGTCCATCGAATAAAGAAAGCCCGAATGATAAGATTGGCTTTTTACGTTTAGCAATAATGCCTATCGCCTCGTTAATACATCGGTGTATTGTTACTGTGAAGATCATAGTTAGTTAGAAGAGATAGTTATACACCATATCATAGGCGTGCGCGTATGCGACATAATATATGTACACTTCTAAGCTACTAAAGCAAACTAATATGTTATGTATGGCTATTATTCAGGTACTTCAAGCTGATCGAAGGCAAATACTGCAGCTTTCTGAATTCTGATCCGTCCCGTTCACTGATATACAAACACTGTGTTTGTCGGACTGGGTTCTTTGGTGCCGACTGTGGGGTACCGCATTTTTTCTGGTCGCAGCTGTTACACAATGGAACGAAACCAATGATACTGACACGACTTCAAGAACCTCGTCGCGTGATCGAGTTCAAGTTCTATGAAAACTCATCTCCAGGTTCATCAGCTACTTCCACAAGCTCCGTCTCCCCTGGAGTTACTATTTCATCAGACAATTTTTCTAGTAGCAGCAGCAACAGCAGCAACGGTTCATCTTCGCTTGTGCAGAATAGGACTGTATGCTACAATAGTACCGTGATGAACTCGACAACGGACGCGTTTGGCTTTTATCGAGAACAACCTGATTTACAAGTGTACACAGGACCAAGTCAGGCAAATTTTTCCTGTTCATCACCCCGCATTACGGCATTTTCCTGTCCGACGCTACTTTGCTGTTGGAACCGATTTTGGATGCAAGCATCGGAGTTGTCGTTTACCGATCTAGTAGTTCTAGATATAGGTGAACCGTCCATAGGGTCTTCTCTACCCGGTGAAGTGTTAGACTTTCTGAAGTTTTATGAAGGCTACCCTGAGGTTTTGTTGATTCGACGCGGCCCGTCAGTTTCACTCGTGGCTAGTTTCAATTCGGTGGCAGTTGAGTGTAATTTTGATGTCAAATGCATAGCGTCGTGCGAAAGTTCCAAGTTCCAGGTGATCAGTCTCGATCTCTGAGCGGAGAACTCAATCGTGCACGACACCGTCCCACCTCGGCCGAGGGGCCGGTGGCCATTATCGAATAGCGAAGACATGTAAAAGAAGGGAGAAAATACCCGTCTGTTACCTAGAAATTATAGAAATTAAAAGAATGTTTAAACTGAACGTCCAGTAATGGCTGCGCAAATGACGGACGATGAAAGCGTGCCATTCGAACGCGTAGAAGGTTAAAAATAGGTATAACGTTAAATGTATTATATATCATGCAGAGAATAACGACTCGAGAAAAAGGGTCGAATCAGCGCAGCCAAGATGTCGCCCATGGTTATATTTGACAGATAATGCAGCAAATATTCAGAAAGTTATATGGGTAACACGACTTATGTAGAATTTCAAAGAATCAGTGGGAGGTTGGGACGATTTATTAAAAGTTTTTTGAAGATAAATCAAATAGTCTATATCGGGGATTAATTAAAGTAGCAAAATTACAAGTATAAGACAAATATTATCAAGAAGTTTTTATAATATTAAGTCTGCGTGAGCATGACTATAGGATAAGCTACTATTTTGATATTGGGTCGAAGCTAATCCATCCCTTACAAATTTCAATGATCCTCTAATCTTGGCAAGATAGCGGGATTTCAAATGATTGCAGGATACGGGTAAGTATGGTAAACGCATGTGAGGGCTCGTTATCTGCGTCAGAGGAGACTGTTAGCTAGCTACTGGTCTACTATCAGGGTACGTTGGATATATAGAAGAAATAGAAAAACTGAATAATCAAGAAAACTATTGCAAAATGAGGGTTCTAATTGCAGCTAGGTTATGCGAGGCGGACTTTTATATTAGCATGTACTTTTACATTTGTACGTTTCTATTTTTGTCTAGAATAAATAACAGGTGAGGCGAATGTATATTTGTCTAGCACTGAGTAAGAGTCTGACAAACAAAATTGTTACAGTAAATATTTTTTGTACGTTGACTGAAACGCATTCTGTCGGCAGTATCAAACAAACATTTTTAACCGCGCATTATGACAATAAGAAACTAATTACCATCACAAATTTCACAACGATATCTAAAATTTTCATTAATAATACCTTGACTATTACGCATTTCAGTACCAACCACCAGTCTCACCCAAATCTTAAAACTATTTTTACATTTGTAGAGATTCACCTTATTGTCTGTGATTGTTCGTCAGTGCTGAAACACAAGGTAGTCAAAGGTTCGTTTATATGTGTAAGGACCCTATACAAGCTAAAGGATATAGCATATGGGCAACGAAGCCTTGGCTCAGGCTTTAGGTAAGCTGAACCTTTGCGCAGTAGCATCAACTGTGAGGCGCAAATGAAGGTAGCTTAGGCGATTAAACATCGCCTTTTTTAAAGTCTAACGATGCGAGAAAGTAGCGAGGAGCCAAAGGAGTGTTTCGAAAAAGATACGATTACAGCCTTACAGGAGCAATAATGCATAGTATCCTCGTTTGCATCAGTAAAATCCGAGCTGACTCGATAATTTTATACTACACAAATTATGCATTCCCATCCGCTCCTCACCGATTGCCATTATATCCCACATGGCAATTTTCTCTAGGATGTAGGAATCTGAATAGGAAGAGCGATAGACGTTAGTTAGCTTCTTAATAATGGCGTGGGTCGATGTAGGTGGTGCAACATTCGCGCTGGAATTCTTTCGAAAATTAGGCGGGCTGCATCTGAATGGCTAACTGTTGGTCCACAACGAATACGCAACGCGCTAGTACCTTGAGCAGCCGCTGTGCTCCGTAAATCACTGAAGAGCCCCCCGTCGACACCCTTTCCACTCATTTTCTCCCTGTGTTAACACAAACGGGTATGCATTTAACGGGCAGACTGGGATCCAGAACCTCGAAAGTTGTTATTAAAGTGTACCGTGTGCAACATGCCAATTAGAATCCGAGGCACAGTCATCTACCTGCAAGTCAATTTTGTCTAGTCGAAAGGTTGAAGCAATTCTGAAAGAATTATCTATCTGAAATATGTATGAATAAGAAACGGCAGGGCGTGAGCGCAACAGTATATATTTGAAGAGAGATGTCGACTGTACTTGGCTGTCTATGTGTACAACTTCGTGTAAGGCTTAATTAAAATTTGCAAGGGAGAATTCTCGAATATTTAAAGTATTGGATGGCGCCAAAACACAGTAACGCGGAACTGGGATAAATTAACGAGAGCTTCTATGTTCAAGTCGACTAATTAAAATAATTTGAAAAACATTTTTAGTTATTTCAGCTAAATTCATAGCTGAACTACAAAAGTTTTTATAATACAAGGCTAATTTGTGGATTCTCCACCACTCAGATCCACGAGGAGTCACTTTTCGCGTAGCACAAACATCGATGACGAACACTTTGCTCGTTAATCGATAGCAGGACCCGCAGTAGAATATCAAGAAATTTTTTGGTACTGCAGCCAGGCCTAGTGCTAGGCTTGTCTTCTGTGTGACATCGGATTAATTATACTTGGGCACAGTTGACCCTTTGTTATTTAGGGTAAATTATATTGGCAACAGCATAACAATGGCAAAGTATCCCTTTCTCCCCTACTGGAATTACAAAAAATCATTCAATTAGTTGATTATCTAGCATATGGTCAAAGAACGTAAAACAAAAAAAAAAGCAAGAACAAATAGATTCGATTGATTAAATAATACGGGAAACGTCATATGTGTACTGTATCTCATGTGAAATAGTGTCACTAAGACCGAAGTATACCCGGTGTCAGTACCCTAGCGCGTATTGCCCCGTGTTTGGAAATCTGTTACCAAAAATTTTAGTTGACGTTGGTGTTTTGGCACGCTGATGGATCATCAGGCATGATTTTACTTGCGCTGTAATTTTTAATAGTATGTTCCAGAGCACATATTGTTTAATCAGCTCACAGTCCTATTTCACCGACATTATTTTTTTCCAGTGGATTAACTCTTTCAATGTTCTGCAGTTCTTGAGCCTTAGTTATACAACGATATAGCTGCGAAGTGGGCCAACGTGGGCAGCGATAAAGTGACAGTGTACAACCTTGATAAAGTCTCGATCAAGACACGTGTTGTTTTTATTAAAACCGAACAAGAGAGAAAAACGAAAAAGTCATGCGACGGTCCTGTATTTGTATTCCATAATATATACCGATTATTTTATAGTGATAAAGGAGGAAATGCGAGAGCGTTTCGTGATTTCACGTATGTAGGAGTGGTGGAAAAACAAGCATGAAACAAATGATATAGTACAATAAACATAGGAGAATGCATTTCATACCTCATTGTACATATTTACATTTAACAGGACCCTGCGAGTTATAGTACGGGCTATGAATTGTGAGTTCTATTTACCGTTCGTTTTACGATAATAAATCCTGCTAAAAACGAGTTGGATACGTAAGAGCGAAAAGATGTGATTTCATATATAGGATTTGATTCCTATATTGTGCAAATTCATTAAAAATAAAATGTCAAACATGGAAACGTTAAAAGAAATATGTCTTAATACCATAAAAATGCGATATTCCCAATTAATTCACTACGCATCGTTTCTGTAGTAGGTTCGATGCTTAAAAATTTTCATCAACATCTATATTTGTAGAGCAGTCGAGGCCAGTGGGACATTCCTATTTACAGTACTTTTTTTAACGAAAACAAATTATTACTAAGAATCGTTATGTTCTAAAAAAAACAAATTTTATATAAATGGCTTTGTTCAGTTTAAGCGCTCAAGGAAGCACACTCGGTGAGTGCGCCTGTACATGCATCACGCAAGATGCAGACAACAGACACATTTTCACGAGAATCATTATAAAAAAAAAGTCTCAGTAGTAACTTAGTTGCATATGCAAGTAGAACTCTACGGTACTACCTTAGTTCGAGAACGGATCATAAAAAAAAATAGAAAAATAGCATTTGGCGATTATTTCCGTATTCCATATAATATACTAATTATTTCCGTATTTATTCCATATAATGCTATTATTCGCGTTTTCACTTCTTTGCACTCCGACGGTTTCGTTGATTTATCGTCTGCATAGCTTTTATAGTTGTGTGCAAGGCCCTTTTTGTTGTGCCGACTTACTGCTGCCACAAAGCGCTATTTACAGATAATTATCAGTACCATGATCATTATCTCTTCCTTGTTTTTACGGTACTGTGTAGCTTTATATGAGGCTCTAGTCATGCTAGTCGAGCCTGTGGGTCACAACAACCGTCTTGGAAAACTTTCATTCACTGCTCAATACTCGTGGATGCGAAAGTATGATGCGAACATTGCACGTCAGTTCTACAAGTGTTGCAAGCGTCAGAGGAACTCTTTTATTTTAGAAGTACTTTAGGCCAGTATAGTGTTTTTCAACTGCCCGAAAACGAGTGCGAGCCTTTTCTATTCCTCAGTGCGGGAGATTGATCAGAGCATGCTTCCTCAGAGCACTTCATTCGTTGAGCCACGTCTCTACGGCATACGGATTTGTGACAACCGACACGTCGGTCTCTTCGACGTCACATTAATACCAGCACGAAAAAATTAGTCTTCTTGTGAAGAAAGTTCTACGGTCGTAAGACGTACTTTGTGGGATTTGTCTGCTACTGTTCTGTTGTCCGTCCGTAGTCCCGTTCCAAAAAGCTTTACGTGGTTTAGTTCAAAATGACTAAAATTATTGTGCTTGATCAGGCCCACAATGATCATTCCAGCTTTGTGGGCCATAAAACATCTCAATATACAATTCATTGTGCTGCACAACTGCTGAACTACCACTCGGATGCAGACAGTTCAGCGACGTGGTTAATAAATTCAGTTTACTTACAAAAATTGAGTAAATTATTTACCTTATTTGTACTACCTACCTGTTTCACTGCGCGCTTCAAGGGGTCCTCGTATACGTGTTGTTGTACAGACGTTTTCATGTTCACGATAGCGTTTCAAGTGAATACTTCATATTCATGGTATGCTAAATTCTAAAAGTGATACGTGTTGGGAAGTAGTAGAGTCATTTCGAATAATTGAATCTAAATGTGATTTTATTTTTAAATATATTTCTATAATTTAAATTAACTTACTTCCATTATGGTTGTACTATTCATCTATATAGTGTATTTGTCCTTATTTAAAGGCACTATACGGACCGGTTCTACTTTAAATGTTGTTAATAATTCTTATGCGATATTTACTCGCCATTTTTGGATAGGTTTAAGAAAAGATTACTTGTTTGAAAAAGCTTTTAGTACAGTTTTGGCATGTGGCTAAATGTTTGTTGAAAAGCCTAGGAGTCCATTGCATTATTGAGCCCGTCATAAGGCGTGCACTGTGTGCCATATGGAAACTCTGGAAAGGACACTGAAACCTGTTGGTTAAAGCAAATTCCAGAGCACATCTGATCCAGCCGTTTAAACATGTTCTTAGGTGCTGTATATTCCTGCAACCTTAAATTGAAAGTTGGCTCGAAGGGAACTGCATAAAAATATCGAAATCATTTTAATGTCTCTGGCACTACACAAACGAGTTATTTCATATATAATTCACCTATGGCGAATCTGACGTTACATTTTAGTTGAAACGTTATGAGGTACTTAAGCGTAGATGACCCAAAAGGGATATGGGTATATTTAGTGGCCTGAGACTACCTTGATTATTCCCGTGCTGGGTGAGAGCGAAACGGGCTGTTGTTTAAGTCCATGTGTGACTACTCTTATCCCAGAGAGCGATCCGTTTCCAGGCTCTGACAATCTATGAAGGTAGACATGCTGTGCCGCTTCCAAGTGACCCCATAGAGTTGATGAAATGGCTGGATAGACCAGAGGCGTGAACCAAGCAGTAGAGGATGAAGTTAGCCGAAAGGTTTTAAATTGTTCGTAAGCCAGCTTTTCCTCGCACATTTTCTCTGCCGCCACGCTAGGTGAGCGTTGGGAATACCATTTTCGGTATTCCCAACGCGCATCGGGTCAGTCATCATCGCTCTTGTTGTCGTCACCGTAGCCTAGTGAATTCGTGCATCGTATCATTATTTATGGCCAAATCCTTCCTCATCAAGCAAAATGGGGCAGGTAGGTGGGCAGGAAACGCGGGACTTGGAAGCCTACAGCAAAGCGCCATCGTCATTTAAGCTAGCAGAGCTTGGTATATCCATTGTCCAGCTCATATAGGAATCACCCCGCGTATCAGTTAGATGGGTCTATCTCTTAGTGAAGTCCATAGTTGCGCGTCTCTCCTGCTCCAGTTAGGTCGGGACAGAAGACTTAATGAATGCGCGCGCAATCGCCGGACGCACGAATTCCACTAGGTCGGCGAGAGTCCTAGGATGGTTGTTTCTCGTGTGCTCGGTATTCCTCCGCACGAAAAAAGCTAGCACTTTTTCCCGTCTGCTAGTTGCACCCATAGACACATCATATAACAAAACCACACGCACTGGCAGAACTAGTATACAGTGGGTCACTCTCCAACAATACATCAGCTACGTAACAGTGTTTTCCAGAACAAAAAAATCGCACCTAAACCTCAACAGAGTAGTACCTTTCGCATTACAAGAGCGAATTTTGTTTTAATGATGAATATTCACTTTTCTTTTACAGGGTGCGTATATATAACACATACATAATAAGGTTAATCATCTATAACCTTATTATGTATGTGTTATATAGGAGTAGGACAGCAAAGTGTATGACGTCATTTCAGAGTATTGAAAGACAATTTTCTTTTCTCCGCTCGTGTCCAAACAGCATCAAGAGCCTGAGAACATAAAAAGGAGTTTTGGTAGCGAAGCAACGTTGATTTTTAATACTTCTCAATAACTGTAGCACTGATGGCAGAGCTTAGTCTTATTCATCCTTCCTACCGTTCTACACACCGTCAGCACGTATTACGATACGGTGAACTTGAAGATAAGTTACTTTGTCTTTGTCGAGAATTATTTAGCTCTTTTACTATATTACCTGTAGGTAACGGCTAGGACCTGAACAGATTCACGACGTTCATATGCTTTACTCTAAGAATTCGATTTGAACTCTCCTTGAATAAAAATCAATCGCGCACCGTAAGCGTATTTAATCATATCAAGTATCGTTGCCACTAGAGTGGTGTATTGAATTAATGGAAGACTTAAAAAATCACCGCATTTTATATATATTCTCATCATAGTCAAATTTTAAGAATGATGGCAGGACTTCTTGGCTGAAGTTCACATATCGCGCATTGACGATTAACTTCATCAGATTCACATTGTTTCTAATACGATGAACACAAATTACCGTAGTGACTAACAAAAGCTGGTAGTCGAATTACTTGTCAGATCAGTAAAAATGATTTTGAAAAAAATATCATGACTTTGGTATAACTTGATTTTAACAATAAATTCATTAAAAATATACGAAGGTCAGATGTTCTTTCTTAGTATCTATCTAGAGTTTCCTAGAGAGGAATTATTATTTCCTTAAATTAAATAAACGACAACTATAATTCGTATTAAACTTGTATGCACACGGTAAAGCACTTAACGATAAAATGGACATCTGTAAAAAGTAATGCTACCTAAATAGTCCATGCAACGAATTATCGTCTGTGTTATATTTCTCGATTGTGTTCGCAGTTTGCGATAATTGTTTTCAACCAATGAGTGTAACGCACATCCGATCCGATTCATTCTCCATTGCACATCTAACTAAACTAAGCCTTTTCAAAAACACGAAAATTTCTAAATTGTGCCGTTACCGTATGTGGTTTGCATGTTCTGATGCAAGGCTTCACGCAAACGTTCGATAGTCAAATCGCGATAGGCTAAAAAAAATATTAATAGGTTTATGCTTGACATGATGTTGCAGCTATATTAGGCCATGGGAGTGTAGACGGTACTCTAATATCGAGTATGGTAATGGTAAATTTTTTTGATGTTTTTTAGTGATGAAAAATAAACTATGATCACTATTCCTTCAGGTATTCACTACAGTTTGTTTGCAAGTTACCGGAAAACTAGACTGGCAGGCTCACGCTGTTGACGGAACTATGGAGTGACTACAAATACAATTACTGCCATCATCTTCTTATGGTGCATTTACATTAGTTGGCTAGGAGGAGCTTACCAATCTATTCAAACTTATCTCAGCTCTGAAGCTGCATATTGGTTCTTCGGCGACGGGTTAGTCTTGTACAATATTATCAATTATATTGAATAAAACACATATTTAATAAATATTGCTTATATAATTGACGACTAAGATACCCCCTTTCCTTTATCATTGACACGAGTTCCACTAATCTTTTGAAATAGAAATTTTTGGACAAATAAGCGTTTGGCTGTACGTGAATAAATATATTTAGTCTAGGTATTCGGTTTATGTATATGAAAGCGTTGGCGCCACTGTATGCAAGTGAAGTGTTTTTCTACTCGATAAAAGGTTTTTAAAGCTAGCTTTCTGCATACTATAGGAACAGGTGCGATGTTTACCCTCGCTTTAAATCGCTTATCACTCGACCGTTTTCACTTGATTCATGCAATAAAATATTCTGTGATGTTACCAGAATGTATCGTGTGTCAAAGAAAGATGTTTAGGATGATGCTTTACGGCCTTAAAAGTCAAAGTTCTTTATTCTATCGAACGTGACTACCGCAAAAGCAGCATGGACAGAACACTATTACATATTTGCCTGCAAATCTGATAGACGCTATGGCAATTGAGTTCATGTTATTCAAGTATTCCCCAAAGAGACATTTTACTCAAGGTTAGAGTCTTTTTCAATTTTAACTAAAGTGAAAATCTAGAAATGAAAGAAAACTATGGAAATATATTGTAAAACAAAATCCTTGAGAAGGCCCACATGGTACACCATAGTGCATCGTAATGTGGTTCAACTCCGCATGCGGCAGAAGAGAAATTATACCGTCAATAAACGCTAAACAAATTATGTGTGCTGGGTCCCTTTGGGATGCTTTCTTAAATCTCTATATACGGCGCCATTATCACATATATTCACTTTTACTCGTTTTTTTTCCAGTAACTATTTGCTGAAAAAATAAAAAATCCTTTCAGTTCACTTTGACTATGGCATTTTAGCTACCCGCATTTCGCCTTTTTTTCTCCTGTTCGTTGAGTCAATGTTGAGTTGTTCCTGTTGTCCTTTAGCAGCTCCTAGCGAGATTTTTAGGATTCCCGCGGGTTTTCGCATTCGGCCCAATGTTCTGTCTGAGATTGTGTTGGCGCTCTCCTTCTTATTGTTCCTTGTTTCCCGAAAGGAGTCCACGACGCGAGGTGCGAGCTCAAGTAAGTCCCTGAAGCTTGGCCCGTTCCGTCCCATAGATCGGACCCACCGCTTCTTATCCGAAGGAGCATTTCGTGTCGACACTTTTCCCTTTTTAGGTCTCGGTTCCGCATGCAACTTTGGCTCGATCCAGGAGAAATAGCTTGCTGCTTGCTTTCTTGCCTGAACTGCAGGAAACGTATTTTCTTGAGTAATACAAAAAATCATGTGTTTGAATTCTATGAATACGTACCAGAACTTATAGTTTATTCCACTGATCGGGACTTCCAGATAGCCTGAATAAGTAGGCACATACATGTATATATGATGTACCTATTTGATGTTCACGCATGAAACATTTGGTTTAATTCTGATAATTAAAAAGAGGATTTCTTTAGCGCCTCGATCAGACAGGAAGCATAGCGTAGCTTTCTCAGTCCCAAGTACCTGCAAAGCAGTTGTTGAAACTGGATGGCTCCTCTCTCGTTTGGCTGCAGTTCATTAGGTAACGCAATCTCTAGATTCAAGCTTTACAATTACGTATTTCACTAAAACATAACAGCTAGACATTTGTTTTAGATGGTTAGTTAGATGCAATCTTACAAACTATTTTATTTAATGTAGCTATCTAAAAAGCTATACTTTCTTCGCTTTGTGTCAAAATGCATGCAACGGTTATTTAAAAAATCACATTATGTTTTTCAGCTTGCAGAAGACTTTAATAATAATAATAATATTTTAGATTCAATAATAAGTAAGCCTCAATTAGTGTCGAAAAGCGATTTTTGCAGGTACAAGCGTTTAAAAATTCTTGTCGTTTACCTTCCGCTTCTGCGCAAAGAAGATTCTCAGACTCGTCGCATGCCATACGGTGACATGCAATGGCTTGCAGTGTAAATCCCGACTAGCCAAAAAAGCTGATTCTATCGTGTGCCCTACTTTCAGCTCGAACACTTTCAGCGATGGCTAATTTCGAAACCTTACATACTGGTTACACCATAAACGTTCCTAACTAGGCCATAATGGGTTTGAAGCTTTTTTCTAAACAAAATAGACATTTTATGACTGTTACTAACTGCTGGCGCATTTTTTGCAAGGACAATTCCAATTTCAGGTTGTCCAACTTTAGCTCTCGTATCCTGCACGGCGCTAACCTGGTTTCTACTATCGGACCTACATGAAGCCCTATATTTTTCGCGCCATAGCATACTACAAGCTTCTTTATTTCAACAGCATAAGTTCCATGAACGAAACCTTTGTATGTTGTGTAATCTCTAATTAAGAAAGATGCCGACAGCTGTCTCACTCGTGTACATTGCAATACTGAAATGGCTACTGGATGTTCCAAAAACAAACTCAGCAGCTTCCATATAGAATGCTTGATTCTTGCTGTTTTCGGAAGCGCTACGTTTTTTTGCGCTGATGATCCGTATCAAAATTTAAACAAGAATCGTAGATTATATTTTTTTTTTGTTAACAGCTATGGAAACTTTTGAAGTATGGAGCGCTAGAAAAATGTTTGACGTAACATGTTTGACTGAGAATCGCGCAAACTTCTAAATCTAAGATACTAACAACAATCTTACTTTTATATAAGATGCCTTAATTTACCATATAAATACGTGCATTGGTTTCTAATTCGAGAAGCATACATATATATAGATGTATCCAAGCAAATCTATAAAAAAAAAACGTTTGAATTTGGTTTCATAGTAAACTTTATTGATACAGACGAGATTTTTTGTTGTTTTGCGTTCACCTTATTACCTTCGTTCACCGTATAACGGTTTGTTTGTTTGTTTGTTCGTATCCTTGTGTCGTCTTGTCTCTGTATGTTCGTGTATCGGATCATCCGTAGAAATACATCTGATGAGTCGCTTTGTCTTGGAGCCTAATTAAATCTTTTACTGTCATCTATGGTCAGTATTACATTATACTCCACACCTATGCATGCACGTTCATGCATGCACGCGTTCGCGCTGCAACGACGTCTGCCTAAGCACACAGACACGAATTTAGACACTTATCGTTCTTTTATAAACCACAGACACGGTGTCGACACATTCTGCCATACAACAATAGTCTAGCGCAGAATTATTACTGAGCCGCTCGACTCAACAATAACAACAATAATCGAATAAAACAAACAACAATGTAAGGATAGTAAATGAATTCAGCGAATGCATACACAACCCCATCATAATCACCATCATCATTTTCATTAATAAAAAAAGTTTATAGCGTAACTTGCTTTTTTTTTCACTTTTACCGTTCGAGTGCTTTTACAGGTCACCGCCTTCCGTTCCGTTGTTAGGACTCCATCGGAATCTGCTTTATGTTTAGCCTACAGCTGCTGCCTACCGTTAAAATAGTACCACTAACACTTTTTTTGATTGTGCTCCTACTAGCATTATATTATTCGACATATTTTTTTCCTGTCTTATATATAAATACTACTATTGAAGGTTTTTATAGGTGCTGTCTAATTTCGTGCCAATTGATTTTCCTTACATGCGCGCATTCCTTCGTTTGTTGATTTTCTTTGTTTCTGTCTTTTCTTTTTTGTTTTTATTAGCCATCTGTAATTTTTGTTTCCTCGAATGTCCGTCTTGACTTCTATTTAGCAGCTTTTATAGCCTGCTACCGACGCTTTGCCTGCGAAGCTACCCCTTGATTTCGCCGTATGACAGTCGGCCCGTCGGACCTGACTTTCTACTTTTTTGTGCGTGCTACCAGTATGACTCCCAGGGCATACAGCGGACATAATTTGAGCAGAAGGACACGAGGACGCTATGACGAAAGCGATATTGTGAGAACACGACGTGTTGAACGTGGACGTTAGCTTTCCAGAGGAATGAAATACGGCAGACTGTAGGGTGGCAAGTGACTATTGAATGGGTGCTGGATGAAGCACTGGAGCCTTTGGGGTCCAAGAGAAATGGCGGGGCAATTTTTCGCTCCGCTAGTTCACACAACTCGGGAGTCACAGGCAGCGCCCGCCTACCTATGCCCTACGAGCTTAAGCTCATTCACGAAAACTACCAGTTCTTCAGATCCCGATGCCTAGCTTACGATTCCGATTTTGCCTAATGTAATAATAACAGCGACAGTAGCAACGATACGAGTGGCAAAGTTGCCCCACTATCTCCTGGGGACGTGGTCAACGATGTGACGACACCATTACGACGAGCTGCGTGATGGCTTTACCTACATATATTACGAATCTGACGATATATATAATAGTACTATACTGGAACAGCGTTTTCCTATCTCGCCACCGTTGTTGTTACGCTATGCTTTAGATATATATATTATATAAGTTCATTACCCTAGTTTTTTTTGTTCCTTTTTTCATAATTCTTGCTTGTAAAGCCCGGAAAGGACGGGAACGGCGGAGGCGGACGAATGGTTGGTGAGGGCAGTCAGGCCAAGACTCGCTTAGATCACATGCGGGTAGTCAGTAATCCATGTGAAAGTGGCCCGCGGTGATACCGTTGCCTTTAGGAGCATGCATTGCGGTAGTGGCTAAACACTCAGCATCAGTTCTTGTCATTAGCCGAGTGTTAAATTTTTCCTTTTTAGTCCCGAAGCAAAGAAGAAACAGCTGCATGTTTCAAGTTCATTGTCGCTTCTATGCACAGAGCTTTTTTCCTCGCGCCAATGCTATACTGTATTATATACATGCATGTAGAACGCTCTACTTCAACATCGCTCTGCTTTCCACCATACGAACCATCTTGCACTGCTGCTACGGTTCGCATATTGCACCTGTTATCTCTCCTTTTCGAGCGAGCGCGCGCGCTCTTTGTCTGCCTCTTTGAACAGCTACTGTTTGATAGGCAGCTTCGCTAGGGCGTCTGGTGTGGCTCACCACAAAGCAGATCTGGGCTTTCAGTTCGAACGTAGTGATTGATTGCGATATATTCGTCTTCGTTCAATGAACAATTGAGCTGCTGCGAAAATGACTACTGATGCAGGGGCCACGATGACTCGATTTTTCCTTTTGCACCAGCTTCAACTTTGCAACCGCCGTTACTGCAGCATGCATTGGATTACGTTCGTTAAGCCGTTGTAAATGATACGACACCTTCAAGGGAGTAACTTTTCACTTGCTACTCTTATTGCTAATCCCCACGTGAAGGCTGTATTATAGACCGTCTTAAGCAGACTTACTTTTACTTACTATGGTAGATACTAATGTACAAAAGTCTTCTTATTATTATTACTCGTTTGTGTTGTTCATGCTTCATTTTTTATTATTAGTATTATTATTAATAATATCAATAATAGTAGATGTGTGTGACAGGATAACACGTACATATACCCTTTTGGTGGAGCAATCTCTCTTGGCGAAAATCGGGCATCTGTATTTCTTGTGTTGTTTATAGACCTTGTTGTATGTACAACCGAAAGTCGTCATCTTCGTCACAATAATGTCAACTCTGCGGACTCTCTGTCCCCCCGCCCGACTTTCGACTCAGATCCGGGCTCCCTGTGTTCGCTTGCAACTTATCGGTTGCCCCTGTTGCACTGCAATTCGGCCTTCAGCTATCGCCTCTCGATATTCGTTTTCACGTTAGCCAGTTACCATTATCAGTCGTTCTGCTACCCTGGCCAGCCTGCTTGGTACCATTATGTCCCATTTGGTCCCAGCCACACTCCTCATTCGCCGACACTTGTCCACTGGTCACTTCGTCACCTCTTTTCTTCTTTTCCGTTGGCGCATCGACTTTTCGTTTTTTCCTGCTCGCTTTTTCCGTGAGTTGTGGTTGTTGTTCCGCGTCGGCTACTGTATTGATAACGTGATAGCTGTGCTTGGCCTTGGTTTAATGGCGACACTGACGATGAGCAGGGGTACCGGAATGACCTATCGTTATCAGCCATGTATATATATATCGCAATACTGCCGCATGCATCGTGCTCGTCTGCATTCGCTGTTATTAACCTTTTGTCGTCGCTGCCATTAATGCCCTTCGGTTATCCAAAATGGTCAGATTACAGAATAGAGCAGTCAACAACAACCTGTAAGGAGTACTAGGACCGAAAGTCGGCAACGATGACCGTGTGACGTCCATATATTTAATAGGTATACGAATGTGGCGGAAGTTGTGTAAGACGTTCTCTGTTTCAAGCGTGGTTGCATTAATGTTTCCAGCATGGCCATATTGCGCCTTAGAGGGCATTTCTATTTTTCAAATTAATATAGCGTATTCGCCCTTAGTCGAGTTCGAGGTTTTTCTAGACGATATTACAGCAGCCACCCAAGTAACAGGCATTGATCGATGTGATTGCCAAGTGATTCCCGTTTCTAGTGGCAACAGGAATGATAGTTAGCTTCTTGACAACTAGGTGTGTTCGCCTACAAAGAGCGAATAGCGACAACTACCAAGTTGAGCAATATAGCAACAATTGAACATATGCCCATGAGAGCCGCGCCGCTAGTGCAGCGGTACGCGTCAAATTGTCGACAATCATTATCGGAGTCCCGTACCTTTTGTTGAATTATGCTTTCAATTGTACTGTAGCCGTACTCGCGACAATGGTTGTTAAGAGCATTACGCAGGCAGCTCTTAAAGTCGAACGTCGCGCTGCAACCACATAACACGTGACGAGATGTTAGATTTTCAGAAATATATCAAACCCGACATCGTATGAGCACCGGGGCATCGAATTAACTATATAGACATTTTTAAATTACTAGTATTTCGCTAATTTACGAATCTGTCGTATAGTGTAAATACTCATACGCCATCTAGCGAGATTTACCACTACCTCCACGATCAACGTATCTACCTCAGATATTTCTACTCTAATAGTAACTTGTTACAATATTCGGCTCACACCGTACGCTCGGTATGTAAGGGACATTGTGTAAGTGGAGTCGCTCCAGCTGCTTCTGTCTGCTCGGTGGATTTTTCTCTACGAACGCTCTTGCGTTAAAATTATTAGCGATAGGACATTTTTGGAGCCTCTAATAGGTTTACTATAGGGTAGATGGCTAGCTCGCCTATGTACCATACAGCTGGTCACAGGACCGCCAATTGCGGCCAACTGAGGTTAGGTTAACACCACTTAGACGGCATAGTGTGTCTGCTATATCACTCTTTCCGAACACATCCCAAACAACACAGCATACGTCCACACCTTGTCCTTTTCCGCACTGCGTCTTCGCTGCCGCCACTCCCTTAACCACCTATCTCATCTCTGATTCACGAAGGAGGAAGCAGTGACCACAGGCCAGGCCGCTTTAGGCCAATATCATAGAGCCAGCCTGCCTTCCATCTATAGCTCTCTCCTAGTAGTGTGTCCTGTACAGCTGGGCATTACCGCTTTAGCAGCAGCTGAAGGTAGTGCTGCTGCTGCTGCTACAATTGCAGGCAACACCGTCGTTAAACAAAGAACGCACTAAAAATATAAGGCTGCCACTAAATAGGCTAAACGAAACATCGTAGCCGTCTAGAGGCGGCAAGGGTTAGGACCATCTAGCGTACACAACGCACGTACGAGAGAAGCTGCGTGACAGCGTAATGATGTAGCTATCTTCGTTGTCCTCCTTGTTCTTAACGAGCGGGTCGGTCGGCGCAGCTTCGCTTTAGCACTACAGTACGCAAGTTAAAATCGAACGGGCGAGTGTGGTTGCTGGGTCTGGCCCTGTCGTTATTGTCGGTCGCTAGGGATGCTTGCTACGTTCTCGTGGGTTCGTGTCGACTGCAGCCCACAAACTAATCCCGCGGATGCAACCCAAGCGGTAATCTCAGAGATGGCCCGAAGTGTTGTCCAACAAACCAGAAGGCATTTTAGTAGACCACTGGGCTCAATTCGACTGTACGGTACTTTGAAAGCATGAAATTAATATAGGAACGCTTTCTTTTGGTGGATTTGGTTATATGAGGTAGTCAGCGTTGCAAAAACGTACTAATAAAATTGAACTTATGAACGACGTAAAAAAGATCTATATGCATAAAGAATATCTTGATACGAGAATAAACTTTGCCACTCAGCTTTTAATGTTCTTTATTGAAATTTGAATAGGCGCTTTTTTGGAAAGTAAAAAGCAAAGAGTATTTTTTAAGAAAATGAAAATGTATAATCTAAATTAGATTCTCCCGCTAAGGCATTCCTGCTTTCTATACAACATTTTCCAATCTCCTGACATGACTCTATGTTATACAATCTATGTAATATTATGGTCTTTAATAACAATTTTAGTAGTAAGGTAACGTACACGTGACCAGAAGTTTCTAAGGTTTTCTGTTTCCCTAGATAGTACCTCGTGTCAGGTACTAGGTTCAGCTCTCCTAAAGTAAGTTCTGCTTAAATATTTCTATGTATGAAATCCACATATGCTTTGGTAGACGCAAAATGTCTGAAGGTGAGGTTCGTAAGTCGTCAAAGCTGATGCAATACACATACTCACCAGCAGCTTTCTTTGATGCGTTCATCGGCATGGTACCTTCGAGCGTTATACTGACGCCGTTGGTGATTGCTCTCGCAATCACGGATCTGGTCTGTGGCCTTGTACAAACAGTACGAGTCTACCACGGGATCGGAGAACGACAACAACGAAAACAATGAAATAAAAAGTTAGTAAAAGGATGTTCTATTTATCAGTGAAGTTCAAGCCACAGGACGAGATTTTTAATAGGTTCCACTGTAACTAGAAAGCAAATCAGACAAACTCCAGTTGAATGTAAAACAATAATCGTCTCCAACCCAGTTCTGATTTTTGTGGGGCAAACCCAGGCTAACACAATTCATTTGCCGAGTATAATTAATTATAGTAACTTGTTACTGTGGTATTTAAGTACTTCCAGAAGCACGGTTCCACATGCGCAAACAAATACTAGCAAATTAACAACTCATGCAGACATCTTCATTCTCCCTTTCTAATTACAACCTCACTATATAACCAAATGCGAAAAATCGTATATATACAATTAATAGAAAAAGAGCGGATAGCACACTTTAACCCGCACTCATTTAGTTACACCATTCTGAAATACTAAATAAATCGAAGAGAAATAGTAGCTATGCAATACAGTGGAAACATATAATAGCTTAAGGGCACAATTGGCCGAACACACACGCTCGCCTTAAGGACTTATTCAATTGCCTAATCTGGCAGGATTTCTTGGACTGTTGCAACTTTACCGAAGAATTCTGTTTTGCTGGGCCACACATTCGGTATGGAAGATTTTTAGGCTAACGTCGAATATGTAAAAATTCAGTCGAAAACTAAAAGCGGCTGGTTGACAGTGGAGAAGTTTAGCCTCAAGGTAATAGATCTAGTAGAGCAGATAAGCAAAAACAGACATGTTCGCTATTTTACCACACTGTTGTTTCAATACGGTCTGCTCCAACGTGCATATAAGGTTACGCCTAACTAGGATCACAGTTAATGTCTAGTGAACTTAACAATTGACATAATACTTGCCCGTGTTAAATTTTTAAGTACATAACGACAGAGATTATACTCCCCAGTCTAATACCCAGAGGGTAACAAGAACTTCAGCTTACTTTGAGTTGTCGCATGAATAGCTAATCTTAATAATGAGTACAACTAAACAACAAAAATCCCGTTTGCATCACTCCAGACAGGTTATCTTTGTATTCGCTCTACTTAAATCACTACTATCTACAGAACTATACATTATATTTCCTTGGACGTTTAACTTTTTAAATGAAGCTTCTTGCTATCACTGTCATTCACTGTCTTCACAATGCACGATTGCCAAGAGAAAAAAGAATATTGCCAGCTTTCTTTAAACGTATGTCAATTTTCAAGTTCATGATGTCCTGTTTACGTTTCTTTTTCATTATCTCGCATTATTTATTAGCTAGCTACCGGTGAATGGGGACCGATGGGGGCTATCAGTGGTTGACGTTGTCGTAATCCTGTGCGGCCCTGGCGGAAACGGCGTTCCATCGTTGTTGTTCGTCAGGCCCACATTATTGTTGTTGTTGTTGTTGATGCTGTCCTGTTGCGATGACCCTGGACCCCCGTAGCCTCCCCTTACCCCTCCACCGTAGCGCGGCGGCGAGTACGTATCGTTTCGCACGTTAGGATAGTTGGGACTGTGCAAATCGTTCGAATAGCTACTACGTCCATTATATAGGCCATTGTTATAATTCGAGCTCGTGTAACTATTGTTGTATGAGGAGGGATTCAAATAACTTTGATTGTTACCATATGAATTATAAGGGCCGTACGTTGAATTATACTGACTGAAGGGATTCGTGTTGCGCCGACGATACGGATCGTTTGTCGTTTGACCTTTGATGTTGTAATGATCGTTCTCATGATGACTGTTATAGAAACCATTTGTGCTACTATAACGCCCCGAGCCATAACGGTTATCGTAGGGGCTGCTGCCTGTTCCATTAGATCTGTTGTACGGGTCTACATCACTGTTGTATCGGTTGTGTGGCTCGTTAAGATTGTTGTAAGGGTTATTAGGATTATTTGTATTGTAATTATCTCGGTTGTTCGAATTACTGTCATGAGGGTAGTTTGGCCAAGACGAGGTGGGGTAGTTAGGTCGGTGGGGGCCCAGATTGGGAGAATTATCGGGTGCTCGGTGAAGGATAAGTTCATCTGTGGAGATTTAGGACAGATTACAGTCTTCGTTAGCCCCCGCCCGAAACAAGTACTGGCCAAATACACCACTTCGAAGATGCATTTCACTCAAAGACTCTCGCAACACTTCATCATGAACTTCATCGACGGCAACAAGACTTATCGCCATTCTATTATGCCGCGCGGTTAACCACTCTCGCTCGTGGCCACAGCGTGACATTTACATATAAGTTCCTCGTTAAGGTATTAGCGTTATATCCCTTGGAAGACCGCAGGCCCAGGAGGGCAATGTGCGATTAAGCCCACTTCTACTGTCAACCTCCGTGTAAGACTTCAACTGCAAGTAAGGCTTCGAACGCATCGTAGAGTTCATAAAACGGTACAAACGTAATTTGTATGTGTAGTAAGTGTCGAAGAACTCACGTCTTTTCCCGCTATCAAACTAAATGGGTCATCGTTTCAGGTGAAAAGATACGAAGGCCGGGAAAGTGAAAAATAAATGCCCAGAACGTTGCCTCGCCACTAATCCCGAACTAGGGCTTCAGGTCGAAAGACATTACAGCTAGCACAGTACCATATCAAAAGAGTTTTAGGCAAACGTTGCCATCTTTATTAAACGCAAGACTAAAAACGAAACTGAACTTGCGAGAGGTCGCACTTATACACCTCATTCATGTCCCTTTCAGTAAGCAAGCAGGCTGGGCGTGCAAAAGCCATTTAACACTTGGTGCCTATTATATTTACATTAGGTGAGTTAGTGTACCGTCGACTCTTGAACGCGTTCTTTCGAGCAGACGAAGTACTCACCATCCTGCGAATGTTGGCTGGGCAGGTAACCTGGCCTATTGTAACGGTCAATGCCGTATCGGTCCTGATGATAGCGGTCTTGGTTGTAAAGGTTATCGTTATTGTAGCGAAGATTAGGGTTGTTTGGGTCGTAATTCGATCCGTAGTGTTCATTTATGTATCGAGACCCAGCGCTATCGTAGGAATTTGAACCGGACACGCTGGCACAGGTCCACGCAAGCTCCCTGGCACGCTCCACAAGGAATGACGGAAATGATTGTTCGTCATTACGAGAACATCGTCGCTGAAGGACCTCCTTTACGCAGTCCTTGAATCGGTTATAGGCGCTGCTCAAGTGTTATGAGCAGAAAGCGTCGCAGAGCAAGTGATAGAATGGGTTGAAGTTATTCAGCTTGATATATATATATATATATATATATGTGTATATACATAGACTCTTTGAATTAAACGCCTAAAAATAATTCGATTGTTGAAAATCGTAGCTATACGCACAGGAAGCCATATACCACAAACTGTATCTTAATAGCGTCAGTAATCGTTAAGTAAAACCATTTGGAAAATGGCTTCATATCAATGGACGGAATATATTACAGAATGATCATTTAAGGCAATATGCCATACCGTGCATCGGACCTACTATGTACGCTAGTCGCATAGTAATCTAGTACATCTAGGACCGGATTATAGGTTGTTGAACGGCGTATGTGACTAGAACCTCAACAGAACTAGAAGCTAATTCTATTGAGGTTCTAATACCGTAGATTTATATATATATATATATATAATAATAGATTGTTAGTAAATGAATTGATCGAAATGTTTCCGCTTCCGTAATTACTCACTTGCAGGCGTCCATGCTTCTGCGTTGATTGAAGATATTTTCGCATCGTGAAATCTCGTCATATTGATAACAACGATTGTTTCTCCAGCCTATTTAAAAACAAGGTAAATATCCAATGATACCCCTTACTGACGGCTATGGCTTGTTTGTCGACAGGATACTATTTACAGGATTTATCCTTTTGGTACTTCATTAAACCAATACGTACATGACTATTCACAGTATAAGCTCTGCCCAATCGTACACGAAACACGCATATTGAATCCATCAAACTACCCAAACAAAGTGCAAATACCCTTTGGCTTATTTTTTTTTTTAAATTCTAATTTTATGCTAAACGTTATGACCTCCGCTTATTCTGCTTCATATGAAAAGAAACACATCTGTTTACACCTTCTAACTCTGTGTAGAGTTCTGTTTAGTATTAGCCTTAGGGCACGTTCATTGAACATAATTGTTTCAATGAATGAAATGCACGAACTGATCGGTTTATTTAGCGAAAACTATTCTTATTTACTGAAATGTATATAGTCAATATTGCGATCTTGTACAATGATGGAATCACTGCAAAGACGATCCGCTTGTTTGCATTTTGACGCGAGAAGTGCTTTGATAAAGTGCGATTTTTTTCAAGCTATACAGAGACATAATCAGAACAAACGCTGGCAAATTCAGGTCTTCTAAGCTATCCTGTTGAACGAATTGCTTCATCGATACGCCTGTGTAACGTGTTCTCGGTGACGGGGACGGAATTTGCTGAGCCAAGTCAAATACTGACAACAATTATGCTCACACGAAATTCTAACCTTGATTCGCTATGACCTGTAACAGCAAATGGCCGCCCACAGACAAATACGACTGATCTTGGAATTGCACTAGGATGCGTACGCACATATGATATGATCTGTACGGATGATGAGAAGCGTTATGGCGATAGTGATAACTCACAATATTATAGAACGCGAGTTATTTACGTCCGTTCGCAAACAGCGTCTAATTAATAACATAAACACATCGTTATTAACGTACAGCTGTGAACTGCGTAGGCACGTTTGACTCTACCACATAAAGTAGGTCAGCATCGTCCTGTTGTTGAGCGCCCGCAAAAGTGACGTCAGGAGAAGATGGTCAGTTGGCCGACAAAGGTTTTATTTATTCGGACAGCAATTCAGAGTGTGAATAGCTCAGAACACTCTGAATTATCCTCATCGTCACGGAATCAGGTCGAGTCGTTCGAAAAAGATGTCGAGTTCGGTTGCTTGGCCAAGCCTTGTGCAGGCCTAAAATTACCCACAGTGCTTAGGCAGGCGCTTGGCCGGGTTATAGGCATGTGGACGTCAAATTGGTTGTAGCTTGCTAGGGCTATTTATGTCAGGCTTTTGTGTTAACAATCTCTTTCCGTAATTCGAGGGAAGCTATAGCAGTTGATCGAATTGTGGTACTTTCGTTATGTCAAATATGTACATCTTACACTGTAAATATTCGTTCGTTTCTTGCAAGCTTTCTAGAATAGCACGAATGCTTAGAAGGGCACAATATTGTAGATCGTGTGCTGTCATAAAGCATACTATCTTTGTTTGCACTAGTTGCGCAGCAACATGCTACATGCTACAGTAAAACATAGTTCAGGTAACGTTCGTGCATGAAAATTAAATGTACGGGTTAACGCTACGGCGGCGAAGAGAAACCAACCAGGGCGGATGCAAGAAGCCGTGGAATACCTTCGAAATTTGGGACACGGCTAGTCTCGAGTCAGTCCTATCGATTCTACAATATGCAGCCACATGTACAGGTACGATCATGCGTTGAACGGGCGAAATCTTGACTATAGTTATATGTATACGTTTATCGAGTCGTGTCTTTGTGTCCCCTTGCCGCACCTCCTCTCCCTTAGTAACAAGCACAATCTCTAAACAGCACACTAATATTTTGGACTTGCAAAGCCAGCTTCGAAACGGAAAGGTACCCTTGTAATCCCTGAAAATGCAATCAGGAAAGGCGTATATGAAGGCCTGCAAGGAGCAGACATTGTAAATACAGTCGGCACTGATCAGGCTAAATTGCACGAATGGCACAGGCCTAGCTCCCGTTGCGCAACAACACTACGTAATCGCACTATGGACACAGGAGGGATATACGTGGATTTCATGTCGTGGGCAAGGAAGTGGTGTTCTTTCTGCTTGAGAAATCCGCATATGTGAAAACATTTGTCCATTTAATTGCTGCTCGTAGACAGGTAACAGATTGGTCCAATTTATTCCACCTAGCCGACACAAAATGCAACAACACAATGGAGAGGAAAAAAAGGCTTAACGAGAACGAGACAGTCGTCGACTTCAGATCATCGTACCAGAGCATTTTTCGTTGGTTAGTTACTTACTATGCGCTCTGTGGCTAAAGAGAGCAAATGCATTTAAAATATAATAATAACAGGGAAAAAATCATAATACCTTTTTAGATACAATGTATCACGTATAACAACGCTGCGTAATGACGTTTTTTGAGATAGCAAAAACTTATATTGTTAACAAATGGGCGCGATTTAGACAGAAAACGTTGGAATACGCATCTGCGCAAAACTAGCTGTGAAATTTGTATGTAATATCTTTTATTTTAACAGTTCGTACTACAGATACGATATGTAGAGTATAGCTAGTGAGCACGTGCATTTTGCTTCCACTAGTCGAAACTCCGAAAACCAAAATCAAGCAGACCGCGTATATATTTAGCTTATTACGAATGAGCCACCTGCATAAGGTGGTGAAAACCGATAGAATTGACGAAATGGTCTAAGATGTTGATATAAAAAGACGGATCTATAAGCAAAAGTAATGTAACTGTCCCTAAAACTGTGTTAAGCATTGTCGAAACCTACTATCGGAGGAGAACTCGTTAATATTCGATACTTCAATAGTTAGGATTTTAATTGAGGCTTTTTAGTACTTTCGATTCCATTAGGCCACTACGGTCGGTGACAAGAAGCCTCAATGAGTTAGTTTACCTACGTCTGTCTATTTTCGGCGAAAGAATGACGGTAATCATGAACCAATAAGCATGAAACTACGGCGGTTCGAATGGCGGCGTTAGCAAAGATTACTACATGCAAGCAGCACGCAAAAGAATAGAGGAAGCCAATTGTCCGATAAGGAACACGAAAACATACATTTTTTAAGATCATAAGGTATTAAGGAAGACTGAGGAATTCTACTTAGAGTTAACAGCTGCTTATATGATTGCCATTCCGTTTTAGGAGTCTGTTAGAGAAACCGCTGGTAAGTCTAGCACGATTTACCCCGACTGAAGTCCAAATAGGGATCAAAATCCTTAATACAATATCTATAGAAAACAAGATTACGACAGCTTGTTAGTACAAAGACGATAGCTAGAAATGCCATAACGAACAAAGAAGATCGCCGTAAACGGGTCTTAAAAGAATACCTATCTATCTCGACTTATCGAATAGAAAATGGATATTAATCAACGCTACCTGACATTGGCAATTTCTCGAACCCAGTTGCACCTGCTGAGTGAACTTCGCTAATAAACATAATATTTGAAGGATTATAGTATAACCGACAGACTGTCCAATAGTAGTATGCTAAGGAAGCGTTTTGTTAAAATTTGCTAAGACAAAATACACATTTTCCATGTGGCCGCGCTAGCATTTACTAGACCCCCTTAGAAATCGTCCCGAATTACCAACACTAAAAAAACGCCATGTTCTGGGTCGTGTTCCATAGAGTAAGAAGGATGACGAATAAGTGGCTATGCTGTATTCCAGCTTGTCGAAATAACCGATTGAAACTGAGCGAGGCAACTGAGTCTTTCGGAAGTAGTGACCATCGTCAACCTTACAAGCCTGGGTGATTAGGGGTGATATTTTGTGTTCATATAGAGAGGTACATAAGTACGTTCTTGGCACATAAAAATGTAGATTATATACAGAAGAAAGAAATGACACATTCTTTCTTATAAGAATCTATTCAATTTTAGGTGGGAAACTGAATTTCTCGTGATATCTGAGACCAACCTCCATCAAAGTCACAGAACCTATCAAGGAAATTTTGCGCGGCGAGGATGTGTTCTCCGGAGCGTTGTTGTTCCTGATGGGTTTGACAATTCGCTGCTTGCCACAGGAGACAGGCCATATTGTCTCGTAGAGTGCTGAAAACAGGCAGGCCAATAAGAGAACACCATTGATCAGAGTTATGTCGTAGCAGGCTTTTTTTCATTGTTTTAATTGTCTCTGGCCATGTTTAAAGGCGAACATGCCTCTGCACCGGTGTCTAACGGAACGGCAAACATGGTCTCTTTCTTACATTAAGCCCTGGAACAAAATGGTTTAACTCAGTTGGTAACACGTAGAATGTTTATAGTAATAACACACGAAATTGAACTAGGAGCATCGTTTATTTAACGCTTTTTGAATGGCATTTTTTTATTCAACGGCAAATTACTGAGATTTTAGAAAAATATGCTAAATTACAAAGAAAACTTAGCCTCATATGAATGAATTTATAGCAACTAAAACGACAGTGTAAGAAAACGAACACTTCAAAACAAGCTGAGAAATATCTATTACAAGAAAGTTAGCGTTTAAATTGAACACGAAGACACGCCATGAGCATGGGGCCAACTGAAAATGTTTAATAATTTCGTTAATAATAGGGTATCGTTGCAAGAAACCTTAATAATAGCCCTTTTAAGAAGCTAAATAGTACAATACAAAACATCACTGCAGGCAGCAGAAGCCGGTCTTCGGCTGCTTCTCTCGTCTGGTAGTGATTTTACCTCTTCGTAAGAAGGCTTCTTGCGTACGCATTGATATTCATAACTTTTTATTTGTTTAGAAAAAACGTAACGAATATCTGTTGCGGCAGCTTACATACGCATACCTCAACATTCGTTGTGTCCTTTAAGAGGTCCTAAATTAGTGGACCTTATACTATGCTATCAACCAGCTTAATTAGGCAGCAACACGACATACGGCGATTTTTTGTAAGTCAATGATAGCTAGACAATACGTATGATAATGCGACGGTTCTAGATGTAGTACTATACGAGTTTGCTTGTCAGGTAAATGTAAACCCGTCTTTCTTGGTACAGACATCGCTGGCGGAAGAAACACAGCCAGCGGCGATTATTCTGTGTTGGACACTCTCCGTCCATATCTAGCCATATCTATTTTACAAAAGCATCAGCAACGACACGATCAGGGAGTTAAACAAAAGAACCGATGAGGAAGTAAACATATCGTTCGCTCGTATGAGCAGTCCATCAACGACTGCAATCGTGAGTACGACTCGCCAACACGCTCCGTCTAAGGATCCCATAATAATAACTTGCAAAAATAATTTGCGAACTATAATACTACTACTACCATTGTTTCCAAATGCGTACTATCTCACCTTGTATGTATCGCTATATGGAGCGTACGCTCGTATGTCGTTCTTCCGTTCGAGGGCGTTTCTTATACATGAAATGTATTGCCAATCGCAGACGGCATTCAATAACGCCTTTTCGTCTGTTCCTTGAAGAAAGTGAAGTGGTTTGACAACCACGACGGACACAATGAGACATCTGTTACGTATACGTATTTCGCGCTTAACGTGCCCGCAAGCTTTTTGTTATTCAGCCAAATGCTCCAGTCAGTGAAGGCGATTTGGAACAAATCTAGCTAGGAAACATGTTCCCATCCATCGTCGTCGTTGAAAAATTGCAGTGTAAGCGAACAGGACTCTCCTGGCAAGTCGACGACACTGGTGCGCCATATTGCTAGCGTATTGCGTACAATGAGTCACACATATTTGCCTTTAGCGTCATCATCCGCCAATGTCGCCATAGAAAAGAAAGTATGTAGCAGAGATGCATTAACTATTCTGATTTGTACTCAATGATCCTTCTCGCTTGCTCTGTTGTTCCTGTGTGATTCAATGAGCCTGCACGCACAGACAACAGTATTGTATGGAATGGATCCGGTTTGACACGGCAGGCCCAGAGACCGTTTCGTAGCCGTCGATGATAATGGTACCATGTTTATAGTACATGTATATATATATATATATATGTAAAATATTCTTATGACAATTTTGTTAAGTTGTCATGGCAATCAAGATGAACAGGCAAACGCAAAAAAACGAAGGATTTCTTCACTTTCCTATGCATATTCGACTGTTGACAATAGACGTTCAAAAATATTGGATGAAGATAGGGACTGCTGAGCTGTTTCAGTGCGAGATGGTATTGTAGCTCAACGCAGCTTGGAGCCGCCGGTGTCAGATATTCAGTAAATTGTGTAAAATCAGTAAAAAAAAGAAAAAAAAACAAAAAAAGTGATTATTGACCATGCGATTAACGTCAAACACTGTATGGTAATATAAGTATCGTAATGTTGATAAGCGGGGGTAAAGTTTTCCTTTTCAATACTTCAGCTCGTGATTTTCGACCACTGACGTCGTGCGAAATGATGATGAACATAAATACATTGCCCTAGTTATAGCTGTCGTTGTTCTAAATTTCATTATTATCGAAATGTTAGTAACTGTGCACGTGGCTGATGCGTCCGCTCCCCCTTATGGTATTATGCACAACTCGTATATTGCCCGTCGTGTTTGCGCCATATGAACTTATATTAGTGTGCCCTGTCAGCAAACCAGGCCGCAGAAGTAGCAAAGGAAGGCCGCTTTACCGGAAGGCCTTGAGGATAGCTAAAACTCTGATGGGAACTTCGTACGGTAGAAGCCCATACAAAAATTCGGTTCTGCCTTCTGCTGCTGCTGTGGCGGCCGCTGTTGTTTCACCATTGTATTTTTAGCTAATTCCCCGATGCAGCTAATACGTTCCTTGAGACCAACTGGTTGCATAGATTTTCAAGTAGGGCAACAGTGATGGGCAAGGCCAATGCTTTTCGGGATCAAGGAATTCGATGCTTACGGCGTATGATAAAGCCCGGCAAACGATCAAGGCTACGGCCAAAATGCCAAAGACAGACAAACTTACCATATGGGATGCTATCCTATAGCGGCGTACTTTTAACACTCGATCATATTTTGCCATGACACAACTATTGCCACTTCAGCTTTTAAGAATTGGTATACAGTGAATAGAGATGATTTTACTATTATACGTAATTAGCATTATCGCAGTCAAGTGGCCAGTGGAACGTAATGTTTGACATTGGTTGAAAATATTATAGACCCAATGTGACGATATGCTTGAACAGATGCCCAGAACAGGTTGTAAACGGCATGTGCGGAATAAAGTTAGCTATTCCTTGTAAAATCGCTAATTTTTAAATAGTTTTGGGGTATCATAGAAGCAAATTTCAGATTGTATACAAAATCAATGACAATTTTTGGCTATTATGTATATATATATATATATATATATATATATATTGATGACACTGATGTTTCAAAAACGCATTGAGGCGTCTTTTCTACGACAGTTTATAATCTAGCATACGTTATTTGCCCAGTGAAGGCTGTCAAGAAGCCAATTAGTTCGGAGACATAACTATTACTTATGACATAGCTTTTTTTTCTAGCTTTTCCTCGTCGTCCTGGTGACAGCGTACAGGGTAACGTAGTTGCTTGCTCGTTTTAAAAACATGCTTTAGTCTAAGTTAGAACCCGGGTATAGACACACTTCGATTCGCGCTGGAACCCAACCAGCCGTTTCATGGGAGGCCTAAGAGCGATAGCGGAGGCCTACTTATTCAAGGCCGCCATTTACTCCAAATCATAGGCGTGTCCTTCAGGATGGCAAGGTGTTTCAATATTTATTTGACATGATGCCAACGCTGTGCCGCGTGTGCTGAACCCATTTACAAATGCCTGCCATTTCTACATCTACAAACGGGCTATTTGTCGACGTATAGTTGAATTCAATTTGCTCGATTCAGTGGTGACAGCTACGGTTATTTGCCTTCGTTCTGGTAGTTCATCGACCGTACGTAACGTCGAGTGCATTCTAAAGTCTAAAGCCGCACTAACTGAATCATTGGCTTGGTTCTTCTTCCGCCCAAACTGAAGCGTGTTTCTATTTCGAATCGTTGTCCTTTATGTGGCCACTTCAAAAAATGCCATTGTGCCTGCTGTTGGTGTTGTTGCATGATAGATAGACAGTGATTTCTTTCCTTGCACGCTGGATAGCGATACATGTACATTGTGTAATGATCTTCATTTTTTCTTTCTCCCGTTTTTACTCAAGCCAATATTATCTCAGTAGGTTGCCTGCGGCAATTAAATATTATCTACGCACGCCTCGATGGTTCATCATGATCAGATTATTTAGTAGTTGTGCCATGCGACTCCATGCTAATTTAGTTAGCGGTACAAAATGAGCGAGTTGGACTAATCATCAGTAGAAACAGGTCGTCCAAAGGCCACTAACACTTGTCGTTCGTTACGTAGCATTGGGTGGTTTGTTGATTATAGCTGGCGTATACTTCAGATAAGAGTCAGGACCAATGTGCAGCTGGCTGGCTTGCGTTGTTCCAGGCGAATTACCCCGGTGCTGGAGAAACTAGAAACCAATCGGCTTCAGAACGCGGCCGTTGCCACAGAGGAAGCTGTGGCTTCGCTCACGTCGGTATAATCACGGCGAATTATCGCCGACCGTCAGCGCAGGAACAGCAGCGGCAGCCGACCAACGTTAAGTGACGCGAGTCCTGGTAGCGACGATTAGAGAACGACTCTATAAGGGTTGCATTCGTAACATAATTTTGAAGGTGTTTATGAGGTGGCGTGCGAGACGCTCCCCGTTTCACTGTTGGATTCTGTGTGTTATTGTGCAGAACTGGGATGGGACCGAGGTGACAGCGTAAAATAGTCCTGGCCTAAAAGTACCAGATGATCATTTTGCATGTAAGCGGCTGACACGAACAAGGCCAGCCGGTGACGACAAGAGAAGATCACGAGTATACCAGCCGCAAAGCGTTATATAAAGTCACTTTTAGCGTCAAGTCGTTAAGCAATTGCTTGCCTTAAAGGGGCGCCGTACTTAAATGGCCTAATTCAATATTTCCTTGCCGGAAAAAAACGAAGTTCGGGTAGACAGAACTATTACTGTCAGGAGTACTAACATATACGCTATGTATTACATATAGATATGTAATAGACACCACTGGCACATCAAGCACACACAAGCAGTAGTCGCATAAT